CACACACACACACACACACACACACACACACACACACACATTCCGGTGCACTGCAGTGGACCCAGAGTAACCCAAGCTACTGTTGACTTGTTTGATTTTTTAAAAGTTTTTAGACAAAGTAAACCTTTTTTGAATGCTTCTGTAGAGTGTGTATGATAATGGGTATGACGAGACCAGGACAAACATTTTCTCACAGTTTTCTTGTCAGTAATTAGATGAATGTTTACGATGCATACTTACAATGAAGTTGTATAGTGGCTGGTTTATGAACCAATGGATCTTCAGTTTCTCCCTGAGTCCAATGTGCAGTAATGAACTCTGACCTAAGCTGGAGCACCTGTGCACTATTCCTCTTAAATCCACATGGACTTCCATCCATTGTACGGTCAGTTTGATTTCCCTGTTACAAGGAGTCCCTGTGACCCAGGACAAGGATGGTGCTACARGGGAACCGGGCCATTGGATGCCCTGCCCAACGCTCCCCCTCCTGGGCCAAAAGTGGGACACCCCCAATCCAGATGCTGCCACAATCCAAGCCAGGTGTCAGCGTCAGTCCTCGACACATCTGCACATGCTAAAGAAGGAAACCAAATGGAGTGTAGGAACAGAATGCAACTGCATGCATGTCACAGATGCACATTCACATCTCCTTATTTAATAAAAAAGGCAAATTAAAAAAAATCCTCTTGGAGTTGCAGCACAGGCGGTCACAGTCTTTCAAAAGCTTCTTTCCCAGAATGACTTTTCCTCTGTTTGAATGTGTTAAAATGTCACAAAAAAAAAAAAAACACTAGAAAAAAAAGGTGGTCCACCCTGTCCTAAACGTTGAGAATTAGGTGGACCAAAAGCATGTCGTTTTCCTGCCGGTGTCCTCTGTCCTGCTCAGCTGCAAAGGTCTGCACRGCCGGTCTGTGCTTAAGCAGATGACACTGGGCTTCCCAACTATAGATCAAAACACGGTGAACACGCCCACTGCCTACTGTAGCCACCTTCCACTGAAACGTCAAGGTCTCTCTCTTTCTCTTTCTCTCTCTCTCTCTCTCTCTCTCTCTCTCTCTCTCTCTCTCTCTCTCTCTCTCTCTCTCTCTCTC